TATGTATGTTGGCAACTTACTTTGGCGAGTATTTATTGCCATTTTTGTTCAACTTACCAACCAACCAAAGCATGGTGTCAGTCCGTCTATTTATGCTGCTGGCGTCGACGCGGCGTCATTCAAGGCTGTTGTTGGTTGGCGCCTTGGACGGCTATTAAATTCGTTGTTTAATTAAATGTTGAATTAAGTGTTTTTGCTGCAATTAGATAACAAAATACGTGGAGGTGAATGAAGTGAATAGGAATGTGTTAATAATCTTTAGCGGCGATTGTGCAACAATCCTTGAGAGTGAGAAAAGCTGTAAAATCGAGGGTAATTTTTTGAAATAGTTATTACAATATTTGTTCGAATAATCAATTCTTATTTCCTTTAAAATCAATCAGCACACAGAAATTTTCGATCCCTATCTTCTCAAAACAGGCAATGCTTTAGTAAACCTATTCGCGGACAGCTCGAAGATGTGTGGGAGGGTGGAAGAGGCAGGTCTCCACGAAAACGCAAACCAAAATGATGTTGGGGTTTCAAAATTACAGCAATGCACTGATTCACTTTATGCAGCAAACACATAGTAGGCTTTTGCTTAAATACACAGGACTGGTATTGGTCAATGATCCGCTGGCAAGGCCGGTCTATCGTGGGACAGTTTTTTCGAGCAAAGACAAATAGAGATCCTGTTTACTATCTAACCTTTTTCCGCTTTTGGCCAGATGTATTGTTTCTGGTAAAATACATTTTAAAATTAAGCTCGCAACAGCTTCCGATATTGTTCCCAGAGTTCACAGCCTAAAAAGGTCTCTATTTCAAAAGTTTAAGTTAACCTATCAGCTCAAATGTGTGGAAATGTATTCTGAAAGTTAAGATACGTTTTTTTGGCAAAGTAGTAAAAAAGAAAAAAGGCATTTTGTCCTGGCGCTGCGGATTATAATCCGTATAATACAGCCTTCCCCTGCTTCTAGACATCTAGTTTCAAAAATGAGTATTGGAAGTATCTCCATTATAAACGGCGTGTTTAAATCACTCTCTGCATGGTAAAGAGAAAGCTCCTTATTTTTTCCGCCTTGAAGTCGTCAGTGTATGAATTCTCAGACATAATTTCGTAGTAGAAATATAGCTTTCAGGTCGATTCTACTGCAAATGCACGCGTGCAGAGCTTTTCTAAGCTTTTAAAATATTTTGAATATTTTCAAAACTTTCTATACAGAATAAAAACTCTCTTTGATCGACACTTTATTTAATGGACAGGTGCAAGGTAAAATCTTTCTCTGGGCAACAATGATTCATAGCAGCAATGGGCAGGGAGAGCTTTTACTCTGCTCGCGACTATACAAAATGTATAGAAAGCTTAAAAGAGCTTTGGCCGCGGGCAAGGCGATGCTCATCGCCGATTCAAAGTGATTAAAGGAAAAACCATGCACGCCACACATTTATGGCGGCCGTTATATCTGAGTGGTTAAGGGTTGATACTAACACTGAGTAGAACCTAGTTTCAATCGTAGATTAATGCAACATAAATTGACACTCCACCATAAATTGGAGATGTTACTCGTGCTAACACTCAGCAAAAATATAAGCGCCAAACATTTTTTGTATTATTTTATTTTAAATCATCGTTGGCCTTAGATAGCTTTTGCTTGCGCGCTCAATTTAAAGAGTCATGTCCGAAATTACATATATACATATATCCCAAGGAAGGAATTTTTCAAAATTTTCTATAGGTTTTTTATGGAAGCGCATAGAATAAAAGCTCGTTTAGTCGTTAGTAATATGAAATCTATAGAGAGCTTTAAAAATCCATCGCTTGCCAGGAAAATGTATGTATGTAGGCAGCTTAAAACTACAGCTTTTAAAAGCTCTCCATAAACACTAACTTGAACTTGCCATTGCATGGAGCTTTGTTAAGCTTTAAAGGACGATATATCCGGCTAAAGAAAGTATATCCAAATAAATAAAAAGGTCTGGCTTGGGGTTTAAAGTTTTACGAAATCCTAAGGTATCTGTAGTCAGCCACGATTTTTGTTTGGGAATATGACCAAAAAGCTACACGGTAAAATATCGAAGCACACCACTGCATTTAATTGTGTACCAAATAGTGAACTCAACTGTATAAATCGTGTATAAATAACCACTAAATAGGCAAAATTAAATAATTTATAATTTCAGCTCAATTAAACAAAATATGTCTAATAATATGAGATCCAGCCAACTTTAATACATATTTGTTTTGGTAAGTATTTAATTGTACGTTTCACTTAAAATATTTCATAAACAGACCGCCTACAAACGTTTCGGAATGAAGTCGTTGCAAACGCAACAAATTTTATTTGTAATCATTGTATTTTTAGGAAAGGCGGTAATTATGCAGAAGATATGTACATACATATGTACATAGACAATATAAAATATTTTGATAACATTAATTTGTTTTGTCTTTTCAAGTACTTGACCGTGACGCCCACAGGCGTCGAATGTTATTTCAATGAGGAATACTGTGCTCCAACGTATTGTTTTCTAACGAAGGGACGTGGAAAATCTAAATACCTCAGCACTGGCTGTAACTTTATTCAGCCATTAGCGTCCGCATTGGTAACATTTAACATTTAGGCTGTGTAAAATGAAGCTTATTTATAAACTTGCATATATATATGTATGTATGTAGATCAGTGTTGAAATTCTACGCAGAACCAAGGAGGGCACCTACACGAATATGAATTTGAAAGTGGAAACGAGTCTATGCAAATTGGGGGACGTAAAAGGTGCAAATGGAATTATCAATAATCTCATGGGTTTGAGTATGAAAAGCTTGAGCCGCTTGAAGTGTCCGTTACAGGTGGGAATAATGCTGCCAACTATATACATACACATACATATATGCATTTTATATTGAAAATTTATTTGCCTTCCAACAGGGCAACGTTACCATAACGAGAATGCCGCTGATGATTTTTCTTGTGCAGGGCCTCCTTCCGATGCGGATTATAAATTATTTGCCAAAGTTTTCAGGGGCGTTGAATCAATATTACAATTGAATCTCTCTGTTAAGGTAACTTCAGCCAAGCGTTGAATACAGCCGAATACTAAATCGATGATAGACGTCCAGTACTCTCGCCTCTTTCGTATTTGTCATACATTTTGCGTATACCCGGATATACATAAATAAATCAATTTATAAAATCTCCAACCGCTCTGTAATGAGTTTTATTTCATATTTCGAGCTCACATAATACCTTCAACAAGTATGAACCAAAAAATTTAAAGTAGAAGAAAATAATAATAAATAATCAGGAGCCCGCTAAACTGTTTACTTAAGCGCACCGGGTATTATAGATTTATTCACGTAACGGTTGCTTGTGGCAGTTTAATGGAATCGAGATAGATATACATATGTATAGGCATGCTTTTAAATTCACTTCCGAATGAATTTCACACCTTGCCAATTTGAATTCACTCTGAAGTGAATTGCAGATTCTGCTTGAAAGGCATAAAGTGCTTACCAAAATCAAGGAAATTAAAAAATGAGAAACTTTGAGAAAAAGTTGAATTGGTACAGCATTGAATATCCAAGGTAGACGTAAGGTAACATATAGGTTTAGGCCAGTGGGTTTTAGCTCTGCAAACACGCGAAGTAGTCCGCAAAGCCATCCAAAAAATCGAATATCGAGCATTAAAGGCAAGCGCGGAATGCTTAGATATTTCGATAAACACAGCTAATTAAGTATTCTTTAAAAATAGTGCACTTAACACTCGCCTTTTCAAACAATTGTGCTCTGTTATTAACGCGGAAGTGGGCGCAATGAAAGAGAAAGTGCTGATGCTTATATCTCAAAGAGAAAAATATCAAAAAAAAAAAGTACATTAACGCAGTTTTGCGAAGCTAGTAATAAAGGCTATGCCGTCACAAAAATCACATTGAAATAATATATATATACATGTATCACTCTAATGTAAAATTTTTCAAAAAAAAAAACCGAAATATTTATGGTTTTTATTATAATTATAAAAACCCTTTACTCATTTACACTTACTATTATATATTACCCCCGAACAGTTGGTGGTCTATGGAAGAACAGAAAATTTACCAAATGGTCCCTCATCACTGGTTTAGGCAGATATGATCGCCGAATTCTTACTAGGCATTTAACCAGGGACCGTAAATAACAGTTCATTTTTTTCAACAGCTAAACTTGGCCAAATATTTTTAAGTCGAAAATAAAAGTCCTTTCCTAGTAATAAACAAACCGCTTATCCAAATTAAACAAGTTTGGTATCAACTGAAAGAGGACTAAAATAGCTTTAGGACTGAAAAATTTAAACGAGGATAGCCAGCAGGAAGCTAGCTATTGAAAAATATTTAAATAAAAAATGTTTTTTAATTATCATAGAACAAACCGTGGTTCAGGTATATGCATATCTTTTGTATAAAATTATAAGAAAAAAAAATATATGTATATAAATAAAAGTGGTAGCCTTCGATAGTCATTTCTAGTTAAAAGCTATTTGAGTCCTCTTTCGTTTGGTACCAAATTTGTTTAATTTGGATAAGCGGTTTGTTAACTATCCGGAAAGACTTTTACTTCGAACTTAAAAAATATCTGGCCAACTGTAGGAAAACAAGTAATTTTTAGCAAAAAAACTACTTAAAAAAATATATGTATATGTATATATATATTTCATGATCAAGTGATCGGATCTAAACCAAATTAGTATGGGACCACCTCTGAGATACTACCTTTCTGGCCCAAAGTTATGCGGTAACATACATAAAAAAAAAAAAAAATTCCGACGAACTGATAACCTCCTCCTTTTTGGAGGTCGGTTAAAAATAACTGCTACTTACGGTCTCTGCATTTAACGACACAGTTCGCTACCTCAGTAGCACAAATATTTCAGACATGAACGTCTACTGTTACTGTGAACCGGACGAGGAAGCGTCAAACTTCCTCATCTATTTATTTGGCGTAATACTGAACGTATTTCCAATTTTGGGAAAGGACATTGAGGTGTTAGGACGGAGGATCACGTTGTAGGTCGCGATTTGTATGACCTACAATAACACCAAAAACCACTGCTTTACTTGACTTATTTATCAATATTTATTAAAACAATTTGTTTTTTGTTACAGTAAATGAAATATTAAATTCCACTATCTTTAGCTTAATACTTTTATCCCCACTTACAACCGAACTCATTAAATATTCAGCTGGTGGCAGAAAAGCGGCACTGATTTGAAACATTGTCGGCAAATTATTTACGGTGACATTTCCCTGTAAAAGAGATTTATTTAAGTAAAAATATAGCGTTTGTAAAACTCTACACAGTTTAAAGCTTAGAACCCATATCTTAAGAAAACTCCCAAGAAAGATTTGTCGTTATTTCGGTTGCTTAAAAAAGTAAATTTTCTTGAAGAAAAAAGCAAACGAGCATTTATTTCTTGAGAGCTGCAAACTGATTTAAGAAATATTTATAGAAGAATATTTTTTTTTTTGATTTCTTGCGCGCTTTTTATATGAATTTTTCGTTTTTCTTGAAAGCTCGGTTCTAAGCTTAATATTCGAAAACTTTACCGAAAGAGGACAGCGAATGTTACGTATATATTTTTCTCCAATATTAAGCAGAAAATCCATAAAGTAATTATTTGTTTTTACTTGAGAGAAATTGCAAAAGTTCCGCACAGCACCGAACGACGTGATTTGGTATTTTGTTGCAACTTTCCGATACAGCTCAATGCGTAGCTAAGCAAGTAAAATAAATACAATGAAAACTTTGAATTTTGTTTTTAAAATCTTTGATAAATTTTCATAACTCACCCAAACCTCATCTATTTGCCGGGCGAAATAGCAACCGATGCTGAGGATCGAGTACTTTACTTTGCCCCGCGAACTCGCAAAAATACAGTAGCTATGACTGCATATATCCGGATTGAAGTAGCTTTTGTGATTGGGTACGGTTACATCAGTAAGCTTAATAATTAAAAAGAAAAAGAATTTTACATATTTGTGCATACATGTATGTATGTATGTACATTAGAGTGGTCCAAAATAAAATAAAGTGTGAATTTGAATGCCGCGCACCCCCTACGATTGTTCTGAGCCGAAAAAATATACCCCTACTTTTTTATTTTGAAATGGCAAAAATATTTAGAGAGTGCTCGCAGCGCTTAAAGTTTTCCATGTATTTTATATGGGGAAAAATACTTTTCGTAGAAATGGTATAAAATTGTTTTCGGTCGGAAAATTGTGGTTCTCTTCAGGAGACTTCCAATATTAATATCCAATTGTTTATTGAACCCTTTTTAAATATTAAACATTTTTTTATTGGTCCTCCCATTGCATTTTCTGTGAGTTTTGGAGGGCCTATAAAATATAGTTACCATGAAAAAATGGTTAAAGGCACAATTGGGTATTATTACCGGGAATCTCCTGAAGATAAGCAAAGTTCTCCGATCGACAAATATTGATTTTCAAGAATCCTACACTATTTCTACGAAAACTTTTAGCGCTTTGAGCACTCCCTAATTTTATTTTTTTTTTTTCAAAATAAAAAAACACCGAACCGAAATGTACTCGTACTTACTATGACTCTGAACTGCGAGAACGCATAGCTAATGAATAGTAAAGTCCTCAAGCGCATTTCGATGACCATCCAAAACAAGACTAAAACAATTTTGTATGTTTTTATTTACTTCATAGAATAATTATAATAGTTAGGAAACTACTGAAGCGGAAAATATTGGTTAATTATAGTTACAACAATTATCTAAGTAAATTATTTATTTATGCAGAGCATACAACATCAATTAAATATAACAAAAACAGTTAAATTTTTAGTAGCGATAACATGTCGTTCGAAAGTGAATTTAAAAATACAGCATATCGACGGCTGAGTGGAAGATCGACCTATCTAAGATTTTGATTGAAAAACGCACTAACTGAACTGAAAATTTGTTAATAAGAGCATTTTTAGGAAGTATAAACGATATAAAAACTGCACTTAAACATTGTAAAATAAAACTCATTGTTTACGATCAGTGATTGGGAACTGCCAAATGCGATTGTCAAAATGCAAGAAGATATTAATTCTCTGTATCAATGGCGGAGTTCAAAAAAAAAAAACTAAACATGAAAACGAAAAATGTTATGATAATGTCTAGAACGGGAAATGTTGATGACTCTCTCAGACTTGGAATTGATAGTCAAAGATGAAAATATTTAAGAAGTGAAAAGTGTCAAGTACCTCGGAGTATAAATAGACAACAAACTGTAGTTTGATGAACCAGTTGAGTATAGTTGAGACAAAAATATTGCTAAAAAAAATTGGTCTTATAAAAAGATCGTGTACATTTTTGGGAAGAAGATATATTTAGCCGTGGTGTGTAGGTCAATAGTAGAACCACAATTTATATACAATTTCCCAACGATGGGAATCACATGTTGGTAAGCTGCAAAAAATGCAAAACCGAGCGATGAGATTTATCCTTAACAAACCGTACGACACACCCACACGACGTATGCCTGTAGCTTTGAATTGGTTAAGCGTGAAGCAACACGTTTTTTTTTTAATCATGCTATGCAATTTGTATACAACATTAACGAAAATCTTCGATATATAAATGAAACCCATAAATATTTATATATAATGCGTATGTTATGCCAAAATATAAACTTAATTTTCGTTTCTGAAAAAAGGTGTTTTGCTATGTTACATTTGTTTCTACAAAATATAATAAATCTAAACTTAAACAATTAGCTGAAAAAAGGCGAAACGACATTTAGAACAAATGAATTTTAACCAATCATGATCGTGTGTTTCGCTTTTCCTCCGCATCTTCTTGAGCTATAAGTCTATGTTACACGTAGTTTACACTTAGATATAATCAATTTAAGTAATAGGTAGTAATAAGTTTAGATAATAAGTAAGTTAAGGCATTGACTCTGTTTTACATATATATTAAGAGAGGATAACTGCTTCGAACTCCAAAGTATGGAAAGGAAGAAAATATTTTATAAAGGCCTAAAGTGCTTCAATGAATTATTAGTGGTTACAAAAATTGTGATACCACTACTCTTTTCAAGAGAGTGATCTATTATAAACAGCGTGGATTGGAAACTAGGCCTTTCCCACACCAATTTGGATCGGACTAGGTGGATCGGAGAGTCGGCCTTTTCGACCACCCAGATTACATTAAAAATCTAAGACAATTAGACAATAAATGAGCGGATACGAAACTAGGCCTTTCCAACCGCCATGACAGCGCGACTGAAAAATTTCCTGTAGAGCATATTTTAGTTTTTATTAAATTTTAAGATAGTTGAAATCTTTGTTAAAATATAAGTCTAACAGAGTGTGAATCATAAAAAATAAAAAATAAACCATAGTCCGACAAGATCGGCCTAAAGGTCAGTGTTGCCACACATGGGCTTTTCCTACCAAAACTGGTAGATTTCTTCGCCGCAGTTTTTTTAGGCGTCTTCATTCGCGGTCATGAAAAAAAATTAAAAATCCGTTTTTTCGCTCTCCTGTAAAATTTGAGTGCCGGAAGATAGGCGGTTTTGCAATTGGTTGATGGGCGGTTTTGAAAAAACATCGACGATATGTATATATGTATCTTTCTTAGGCCGAAAAGAAAACATTTGGGCGGTATGCGTCTCCTTATATTCTGAGGCACTCGAATGTGAACGATAATTATGTATTTATTTATTTTTACCCAGGATGGAATACGACCTGGCGGACCTACACATACATACATACATATATACGTGTTTATTAATGTATCATTTTTTACTTCAGGTTTTTAAAAATCCAAATTGTTCTCAACTTCCGGTTTCCCATTCCCACTAAATCTACACACATACAAATCACCTAAGTAAAATGTGACACCTGGTAGCGGCAATTGAGCCTAATAATAAAGCCGTAAAATCTAGGCAGCGCCGCTCAGCAAATAATAATAATCAATACCAAATTGTGTAGTCAACGAGGAAAATTACAGCTTCAATTGCAGCAGCCACTCGCGGTATACACATACTTACTTAATTTTATGTAATACCTATTCGGCCCCCCCCTCTCACCGCTTGTCACTATTCCCTCTACTCTCTTCTAAGTCCTTAAGCTGCTTTGGAGCTTTTGTTAAATCACCCTAATTAATTACCAACTCATTTGACAGCGATTTGAATGAGCAATAAATAATAAAATGATTCTATAAATCATCTTCATTCGCCAACTTGAAGTTGTGGTGGTGGAGTAAACGCATCCACGTCAGAGTTGGCTAAGCCCGTCGTAGCTGTGGTTGGAGCGTTTGCATTTGCGCAAAATATTGGCGCGGCGTGACGCTGCCACCACTGACAACAATACACCTTTGTAAGTACTTAGTTAAGCACATGAGAAAGTGTAATATCGGCATACGTACATACATACATACATCATATATACATATGTATGTGTATGTGTATGTGTATGCAATATTTGCTAGCTGAAGTTTACTAGTGCATACATACATATGTACATATGTATATGAAAGGCATTTTTGTGACCGGCTCCTGATCTACCACCGCCGCGCAGCTGTGCGCATAATCGCTTCTGCATTAAGGCCCACTAACAACACAACACAACAAATAGGCAAAGTACCAGAATGTCTGTGCATGCAAATACATGCGGTGCGTGTGTGTGTGTAAGTGAATAAAAGCTGAATATCTATGTGGCATTTACATGGCTGAAGAAAGCCAAAGCCAATAGAAGGTATTTTCACGTTGCAGTGCACTGGATGTGCGCCGCCGCCGATCAATATTTATAAGTTAAAGAGCCAAAGGCCTTTTAGGGTAAAAATAAATATACGCAAACGCACATTCAAATGCACATACATACCCTGCAGAGAAACCGCGGACTAGTGAATCCAATTTCTAGTTCCGTACTAGGTCTTTATCGCCAAAAAGGAACTAGTCCGATAGGAACTATATCCCCACCAGTCCAAAATCGGCGAAAAGTGGTACTTTTAAGAAACTAGTTTTTTCAGTTTTTTTCACTACAAATCTATATCTAAAGTGACGAATTTAGAATTGGTTCGGAACTATAGAAAAAGGGATGCAGCGGGGGGCTTGTTTACTTTACATAGATATGTGTTCGGCGGCTTTTTCGTTCAAATACGCTTCTATTCTGTGCTTCGCAGATGCTATTTCATAGTTTGGTAATACAAAACAAAGCTTTGTGTTAACATATTAACATCTTGGGGCCGTCTGGAATCTAACCAATAACAGCGAGCACCTCTGCAAAGTCAGCTACAGCAAGGTATGTAAACGTACATTTCTTACAATCATTCAAACAAATTTAATTTCAAATTGAAAAAACGTTTCTTTGAAAATAATGTAAAATCGCACACGGAAGAACCGAAAAGATTGAAAAATCATGATACTTTTTTCTTTCGTCTGTCGATTTTAGAACTGGTTCGGAACTATAGAATTTAGGACTAGTTCGGAACTATCGAAAAAGGGATGCAGCGGGGGGCAATTGACACTTCCTAGGACATCGCCATGTTAAATTCGCCAGTTGCTTGCATGCAAAAGAGATTTATCGCGAACCAGTACTGGGTCTAAATGTACTAGAAGCGCCCCAGTTCAGAACTAGAGATTTTCCCCACAGGGTACATATGTATCCAATCCGCGTCTGTATGTATGTATGTGTGTGTGTGTGCATGCATGTCTTCCCATTTTTTGCCACTTTTAGGAATTGCTCTCAATGAAATTGCCTAACAAGACAGCTAACATTCCTACTTACNTCAACAAGATGGCGCTACATGCCACACAGCTCGCGATTCTATGGCCATTTTGAGGGAAAACTTCGGAGAACAATTCATCTCAAGAAATGGACCGGTAAGTTGGCCACCAAGATCATGCGATTTGACGCCTTTAGACTATTTTTTGTGGGGCTACGTCAAGTCTAAAGTCTACAGAAATAAGCCAGCAACTATTCC